ACTGAAAAAAAAACTACACTTAAATGACACTTTAGAAAAAGCCATAATTGAGGCCTTCTTTGTGTATGATGTTTAAGTTTTATTAGCTAATTATATAAAAATGTCATTTCAGTGTAGTTTTTTTTTAAGTTAGGACTAACTTACAGGTGTATGAGGATTATTAATGGTGTTAATTAAGTGCTCAAATGAAAACTGTTCCAACCAATATACTATTCTGAATCTACAGTAAACAGGTTTATAGCTGGAATAAATAAGGAGTGAAAGACACAAGTTTAGTACACGTGCTTTTTTTCCACCACTGATTTAGCAGAGTTTTATTTATTTGTCGTACAGATGTCTGCTGTTCGTGCGGTGCAGTCCTGCTCTGCTGCACAGATACTCTGAATCCATCACTGCCAAAAGGAAAACACAATCAGTTCTGCTCCATCGCTGAGAAACGGTCCAACGCCGGTTTGTATAAGAAGCTCCGAGCTCAATTTGACCAAACCATGAGTTTACAGGATGATTATTAGCTGGAATATTGGATATTTCTATGATTTTCATCTTATTTATATATATATATATCAGAATGTCCTATTACTTTAATTGATGATCAGAGTAAAATCGTTAAAGTTCTTTCCTGTAGTACTCTATGAAGCCACAAGAGAGAGGTATTTCTTGTACATCCCACTCCTGATGTTTACTTCATGTGTTTGGAGTTGTGTGATCAGAAACACTGGTCAGGCTGCTACTTTTAGTCGCCATATACGAATAGAAATTGTTACATGGCAGAAATACATATTTTTTTTATACATTTCCTCATGTTTGATGATGCACAATGAGCCCATGTCCTCAGAGTTTTAAGGCTATATCTTGCTACACGCCTGTTCGAGGAAATTCAAATAAGATGAGGTGAGATATTTTAGATACAAGTATGGAAATCTGTGCCAAAGATTCAATATAAAAGCACAGTAAAGGCTTGAAACGCACTTATTTATGTTTAAATGCTGAATAATTCAAACACAACATGAAACGTGAAGCATCAAATTTGGAGTTTGAAGTTAAATCCTATATATCTGTGACCAGAAGGTACAACTATTCTCTTAAAGGCAAAAACTAATCAGTTAGTTTCATCTTAATAGTGTTGAGCTCAACTTTTGTTCTACTTCTCATTCGAATGGTTTGATCAGTTCTGAAAATGTTGATTTACATCAATCTACTGTTAAAGAAACCCCAAGTTGTATATGCAAGACAGTTTTTTTAGAATTAAAGGTGGGACGTGCGTTATTGATTGTGCCTGCTGCTATGCAGGGCTGTTCCAAGGTTCTATGGGGCCCTGGGCAGAATTCTACTGTGGGGCCCATGTTTCATTTAATCCCATCACCCACCAATGAAAAAAAGACTATATCGTTTAAAACATTTGTGCTCGTTTCAATGTTTCTGTCTATCTGCATGTTAGCAAGTTAGCTTGTAAACCACTGGAAAGGCTTGAATGAACGTAATCATTGAAGGTGCCTCTACAACTAATATTTTGGAGCCAACACGGGTAAAGATGGCCACCACGGTTAAGTGACATTAACAAAATTAAAAAGCAAAAAAAAAAGTCTCATATGATAAATTTCATAAGCTTAACCAGAATTAATCCACAAGGAGCATCGGATTATAAGGCTCACTATTGATTTTTTGAGAAAGGATTTTAAGTCCGCCTTATAGTTAAAAAAAATGTGGTAAATCCTCTTGGGGGCCCCCTGCTGGTCTGGGGGCTCTCAGCAGCCACTTGCTTCTGCTTGGGCCGGCTATGCTTCTATGTTTGATTCCTCTGTAATCTTAAAAACACTCTTAGTTTAGCGCGCACTATAAATTAAGGTATTTATTCTTGTTTGTGTAATTAGGCTAAATGAAAGTCTGGATTTTAGTCTGGATTATTTAAGAACAACAAAAAATTCTTATTGTTTATGAAAACTATCTTTGTTTTTCTATTAGAAATGCCATTCCTGCCAACACTTGATCATACAAGCCTTAACAGTAACATTAACAAAAGCAAGCCACGTGATCTCACCATTAAAAAAATACACCTATTAAAGGGATTTTACGCAGTTTTTTTTATCTTTTCAAGGCGATTGCAGCATGTAAATAAATAAAAGATGAGTATGAAAAACAGTTGTCTTACAGTTTATGAGCTTTATGGTAAAAACACACCAATGTGTGCTCTGGATTAATTTCACATAAACTAAATCATCTTGATTATAAGAATGTAACGAATAAAAAACAACCAATATTAAAATAAAATACACAATGCTATGATTAATCTTGCATTTTATGTCTTTTGTTTCAAACAGTTTCAGCTTATCTATGATTCAGATGTCCAGTGTGCAGCTTTTCTACAATTTGTGTCACTTTGAACAGAATCTTCTCATCGAGTTTCTTCTCAGCACAACATGCTAACAGCGTCCTGACAGTTTTATGGCTGTAATACTTCTCAATGACATTACAAGCTGTTCCAACGGGGATTTCAAGGCCTTTGGTAAATCTTGTACTAGTCCTTGAATTTTTTATGTTTTTCGATATTAACATTTCAGATTTCTACTGACAGCTCTTTTGACTTCACTATCAGGAGAAAGAAACTGGAAATCTTCAGCTGCTTTAAGCTAGTTCCACACAAGTGTTTTATTTGTGGCATGAAACGAGGTAAAATAAACAAAACGGTGGGAACACGTCAAGGCTGCAAAGATTTCTGATGGATATTACTTTGTAGAAATGCAAAAAGGATATGAAGAAAAAGTCATCAAAGCAATATACACAAGCACATGGATTTATTTATACAAATATAGTATAACAATTGCATATCAACAGGTTGTTGTCATTTTTTAGATCATTTTTACGGTAAGTACAAGACTATTAGCATTAAAAATGTAAATCAATAAGAAAAAGTGATTTGAATATAGAAAAAGGGGTCTGGAAATCTGAATGAAATGTACGGTTTTAGGACTGAACTGTTGTTCAGTATGATCTAAAACCTGAGCATTAAGGTCACATTGCAAAACAGTGACGTTAAAAAGACAGTTTAAATATTTAATATGGGGTTTTGTTAAAAGCTTATGCACAGTTAAGATCTTACCTGTTGTAGATAGCTCATTGAAAGCTGAGCTCTCTCTCTCTATAAATTATATATATATATATATATATATATAAAGACATATATAT